AGCCATCATTGTTGTTTGGCGGGCCTGGGCTGGATTCGAACCCACCACCTTAGGTGTATGTGGCTGGCGCCTTAGCCACTTGAGCCACAGGCGCCGAGCCAGGTATAGTGATTTTCAATGGGTGTGCTGTGAGAGGTGTGCCACAAAAATTTTTAAAGATCATTAGTGATTTTTAGGCCGGGCACAGTGGTTCCCACCTGTAATCCCAGCACTTGGGAGGCCAACGCAGGTGAATTGCCTGAGCTCACAGGTTCAAGACCAACCTGAGCCAGAGCGAGACCACATCTCTACAAATAGCCAGCTGTTGTGGTGGGCACCTGTAGTCCCAGCCACTTGGGAGGCTGAGGCAAAAGAATCACTTTAGCCCAGGAGTGTGAGGTGATAATGCCACAGTACTCTATCAAGGGTGACAAAGTGAGACTCTGTCTCGAAAAAAAAAAAGTCATTAATAATTTTTGAAAGAAGTTCAAAGCACAATAAGCACATTCTTTCTTTACTCTTTTTTTTTGATCATCATAATTTAAGAGTGTCATGAAAGTTTAACTATAGGTTCAAGTGTGCCATAAGATAAGGCTGAAAAGCACTGTTCTTCTCTTTGTTTCACATTTCCCTAGACTATGAGAATACAAATCTGCAAATGAATTCATGTAATAATAACTATACATCAGTTCCCTCCTTTATGTTCTCTTTAGACATAAAATTGGTGGGACCACATCTACGGTGCATTTTACAAGGGTACATGTTAAATCTACTAAGTGTAAGTGTAGAGTATAAATGTCTTAACACAATAACTAACAAAATGCAGTGAAGGCTATGTTAACCAGTTTGACAAAAGTATTTCAAGGCTCGGCGCCTGTAGCTCAAGCGGCTAAGGTGCTAGCCACGTACGCCAGAGCTGGCAGGTTCAAATCCAGCCCAGGCCTGCCAAACAACAATGACAACTACAACCAAAAAATAGCGGGGCACTGTGGCAGACACCTGTAGTCCCAGCTACTTGGGAGGATGATGCAAGAGAATTGCTTAAGCCCAGGAGTTGAAGGTTGCTGTGAGCTGCAATGCCATGGAACTCTACCCAGGGCTATAGCTTGAGGCTATGTCTCAAAAAAAAAAAAAAAAGATACCATTTCAAATTGTACATAAAACCAGCACATTATATCCCATAATTGCATTAATGTACGCAGCTATGATTTGATAAAAAAATTATAAAAGAAATCTAAACTATTAAGATGTTTCTCAATTTCACTGTAATTTTGGCCAGAAATTATTTCTAAGAATTAAACAGAGACATACATTATCTTGGAAGTCAATTATGTCTTACCTGGGCATCCCATATCCCCGACCTTGTCTTGGAGATGAATACTGAGGATGAAAATGTTCATTAGGCATGTTTCCAGTTGCCTGTGAGTAGCGCATTGGAGGTTCATGCCCATAGTGCACACCATGCTGAACCCTGGATGGGAGGAAGGTGTCTCCCCTGCTGCAAGCCATAGTCATATAAACTTCTTTCCCTCGAACTTTCTTGAACATCTTCTTCCGCTGCTTCATGTCCATCTCTGACATAGCTTTCAGACAAACAAAGTGGTAGCAAATAAGCTTCACAACCAAGGCAAAAAGTTCAATGACCCTGCGCCCCCTTACACTGCCTTAAACTCAGCAGATTTTCTCAGGAATAAGCCAAATAAACAAAAGATGGGAATTTTTGGTATTTTTCAAAAATATACTAGAACTTTCATTTGGAAAGGCAAAGCAAGGAGATAATTTCTATATAAATGGATACCCTCAGCACTATCTTTAGTAGAGGCAGTTTACTGTAAGCCATTAAAACACTGAGTCATCTAGTCACCTACACTACCGTTCTCTAACAAATTATACTTGTTAATATCTCTGGTTGTGTCTATGAGGTATTTTCCTAGTTCTTTAAGAAATATTTCCTCCTCCAGTTTTAGAGTCTAAAACGTATACCACCTTAAGTTTTTAAAATTATCTTATTTTTAATTTTATAGGTATATAGTTATTAAACATATTTACATGTGATATTTTGATACAAGCATACAATGTGTAATATAATCAAACCAGGGTAACTGAGATATCTATCACTTCAAACAATTACCATTTCTTTGTGTCAAGAACATTCCAAATCCACTCTAGTTATTTTGAAATATACAATAAATTATTAACTGTAGTTGCCCTATTGTACTACCAAACACTAGATCTTACTCCTTCTATGTTTTTGTACCCATTAGGCAACTCCTCTCTATTCCCCAGTGCTGCATCTGAGCCTCTGGTAACCATCCTTCTATTCTCTAACTCCATGAGATCAAATTATTTTTTTTAGCTCCCACATGAGTGGTTAAGTTTACACAAATTTATACAAAGTCACCTAGAACAATGGTTCTCAACCAGGGACAGTCTTGTCCTTCCCTCCCTCAAGGTACACTGACAATGTCTGAAAACACTTTTGGTTGTCACAACTAGGCAGAGGGTGCTACTGGCATCTAGCGTAGTAGATAGAAGCCAGGGATGTTGCTAAGCATCCTAAAATCACGGGAAGCCCTCCCTCTGATTTTTTTTTTTCCAGCGGTAAGATAGGACCTTTATTAGAAGTTAGACAGGAATACCAAAAAAATGAAAAGCACCAGAGCTTCTGGAAGGGGAAAACAACTGAAGAACTGACTCAGGAGGAAGCCCGCCCTCTGAAACAATGATGTATTATCCACTCCATTATCAGTAGTGCTAAAATTTAGTAACCCTATCCTAGAATAAGATATATGATATTATCTTTTCATAAAAGTATAATGTAGATAAATAACAGGAGCTATAAGGAAAGAAAAGCAAAAGAATAACAAATTTTTAGCATACAAACCTATTTCTGGGACATAGGCCCCAGGCATTTTCTGGTAACCTCTTCCTTTCCGACTGGGCATAGCATTCCACACAGGAACAGGTGTCATTTGGGTAACTGGTTTTAAATTCTCCAATGAAACAACATGCCTTAAAAGTTAAAGGTATCACCATGAAGCCATTGCAATAAAGATTTAACTCTCCTTTGATACAAATATCCCCCATCTCTTCTACTTCATTTTCAAGTATATTCTTGCCGACACTATCTTTCCTGTTTAATTTTTTTTTTAAGTTAGAAAACCTAAGAGTAGCTTACACAATTTCTTAACTGTCTGTAGTACCTATCACGTTCCAGAAGAAAGACAGTGGTACACTGTATTAGTTGATAAATATTTGTTGCTCTTCCTTACAGGAAAATCGTTATTGCCCCACACCATTAACTGCAGGCTTTGGTTATGTAAACCACTCTGGCCAATGAAATGTGAGGTGTTTTAAGACCCAACAAGTGGTTTGACATGCTTGCACCTGCCCCCTGCCTGTGGACATGGAAGTAATGTGTAAAAATAGACCCTATATAGGCCTGAGTCCCCTATGCTGACCCACTATGGGCATGCTAAATGAAGGAGAAGTTAACTTTATTGCTTGAAGCTGAGAATTTTTTTTGTTTGTTTGGGTAGCACAGCCTCATTTAATGGTTCTCAAAGTAGACCAAAAGCACTGGGCATCATCTGGAAACTTGTTAGAAATTCAAATTCTTGGCTTGGAGCCTGTGGCTCAAGTGGCTAAGGTGCCAGCCACAGACACCTAAGGTGGAGGGTTCGAATCCAGCCCAGGCCCGCCAAACAACAATGACGGCTGCAACCAAAAAAACAGCCGGGCGTTGTGGCGGGCGCCTGTGGTCCCAGCTACTTGGTAGGCTGAGGCAGGAGACTCGCTTGAGCCCAGGAGTTGGAG